AAAAAAACAAAAAAAACCAAAGATTCTGGGACAATGTGCTGGTATCATGTAAACAGTCTGTTGGCCAGATTGTTTTTTGGTTTTTTCGATTTCTCGAGGGTTCTTTCGGTTTTCGGCAAAATCTTTCGATTTCTCGATGTTTTTTGATTTTGAATTCCCGATGTTTTTCCGATTTTGGACACCTTCTTTTGATTTCTCGATGTTTCTCACTTATAAGGTAAGCCCAGCAGGAAGCAGCCAAGATAAAACAATCTGCAGCAAAAGCTTCAACACAGGACAGCTTTGCAAGGAAGAGCTTAGAAGGTTTTCACACACCAAGCAACAAGAAAACCAAAGGTGTGGCCAGCCCGACAACACAGCTTCAGGTGACAGCAAGCCCGACAGAGTCCTTAGCTTCCAGCCAGCTTGCACCCAGCCCCAGCCCAGCTAGCTTAGAGAAGAAACAGCTCAGCGTAAAGAAGATTTTTGGAACCAGAGCAGCAAGCCAAGGAGATGGAGCCTGTGCTATCTAACAGGGTAGTTCCATACCCGAGGCAGCAGCAGAGCAAGCTGCAGAAAGAAGCTGCACTAGTGAAGTCAGCTTACCTCCAGAAGCTAGCAGAGCTGGAGAAAGAAGACCCAGAAGAAGTTGTAACAAGACTGCGTCCAGTTCTGGAAGAGCGTAGAGGAACTGCAGGTGGGCAGCTAAGCAACAGGAAGAAGGAGACAGATCCTTCCAGGAAGCAAGAGCTTTTTGCCTTTCCGAAGATGAAGCTTAGTGAAGAGATTCAGATGATTCTGGAAGAGTCTTAGCCTCAGAAGCAGAAGCTTGGGCAGTTGCAAGGAGAAAGTTCAAGATGAGCACACAGAGGCTGGAAGATTGCAGAAGAGGTTTGCCAGAGCAGCTGGTGGAGGGAGAAAGAGAGAGTTTAGGCAAGTGGTTGCAGAAAGAAAGGAGTTATAGCCACAATGTTTCAAAGAATGAGCTGCTGAAAGAGTTCTTTGCCCTTCTGGTTGCAAGGGCAGAGAGATGCATGGTCAGGGTTTGCAGGAATGAGAAGCTGACTGTGCCCTGCAGAGAAAGACCAACCCTCCACCATATCTCAAAGTATTCAGCTTCTTATGTAGAGAAGCTGATCCAATGGCTAGGTGCAGCTTACTTGAGCTAAGATCAGACTACTCGCCTGGCGCCAGCTGAAGAACAGGTGCGGGCCCAGCTCACCTTCCAGGATATTGACAGAAAGCTCTGGCATCTAGGTGCTGTCGTTGCTGAGCTTGAAGATGCAGATTTGGTTGCAGATGCAGAGATGATAGTTGAGAACCGATCCTCCGGCACGAGTGATCAAGTCTTACTTTGGGCCAAAGCTCCAAGCAAGAAGTTGGTCTTCTCTGCAGATGAGCTCAAAGGTGCCAGTTGGGACGACAGAAAGAGGTGGACTGAGATCAGGGAGGAGCTGAAAGCTGCTTAAGTTCAGGCAGCTGCAGAAGGTTACCAGCTTGTCAGTTGGGCAGATGTAGGAGCAGGGCCTCTCAAAGTTGCAGGTAATAAGGTGATGACAGGACAAAGTTCAGATGCAAAGTTTCGTATAACATACGAAGCTCGCCAGAAGATTTACAACATTGGAGCTCGAGCAGGAACAGCTCTGCAAGGCGACTACTGCGGCGCAAGGCCGGTATAGGTAGCCATCCACGATCTCCTTGAGATCCTCGTAGGTCATGTCTTCTGCTGCAAGTGCCATCTTAGCCCAGAGTGGAGGGTGGGACGACTCAGTGCAGGATGCAGATGGATGAGATGCTTTCTAGTTGGCCAAAGTTGCAGCGCAGATCGCGGTCAGAGGATATATACACACATAACTGCACACAACCCCCCAATTTGGAAAAGCACTCGTTTCACATGGAAAATACCCACGCTGAGGGGTTCCCCCTCTCTTTGGAAAATGGCCACATGGTGTTACAGCACATTGTCATCAACATCGAACAGATGCTGAGTGTAGAAGACAAGTTCGACAGGAAGCATGCAGGTTTCTCCATGACCATCAACCAGTACACCTACGCTACGATACAGGCGGTGCCTGAGCCACTTCGTACACGGCTCTTTCGCTACATCCTGGAGAACAAGCTACAGCTCTCAGGAGAGGCTACAATCTTGGCCCCTGGACAAGCTGGCTACAGCGACCAACGCATGAGAGAAGTGGACAGCGCTGTGATCCTTTCACAGCACAACGGCTACAAGATGATGCGCAGCAAGAGAATTCAAGAAGAGAACAACTGAGATGGTTGTACATGAGGATTACAAATCTGGGCCCAAGTGGCACACCGGACTCTTTTACGAGCTTGGGGTACAAGTTTCATGACCGCCCACAAGGGATACAGGTGTACAAACAATCTGCAATCTGGCGAACAGTTTCATTGCAGGTGAGTTTTATATCATCCCGAACTACAAGGTCATGACTGTGCAATACATTTTAGAGATACAGTTGAAATACTGTATACATGCCCTGGGATACATGTCACGGTAACAGCTTGTCTCACCATGGCTGTGTACATGTCAAGGCCGTGAGCCTATACAATTGCCAGAGTGGAAAACAGTTTGCTACAGCCGCGCTGATACACGACACAGGTCCTCCACACTAGGTTCACAGGTCACATCAAGTTCTATATCTATCTATATCTGTTTATCTATCTATCTATCTATGTATCTATATCTATCTATCTATCTATCTCTATCTATTTCTATTTATATTTATCTATTTTATCTATATCTATATCTATCTATATCTATCTATATCTATCAATCTATCGATCCATCTGTCTGTCTGTCTGTCTGTCTGTCTGTTTCTCTCAATCTGTACCTCACTCTTCAAAGTACCGCGTGCGCCACGAAATCTGTCCCCCACCTTGCGAAAGTGCTGTGTTTGCCACGAATTCTGTGCGAAAGTGCTGCATTTGCCACGCAATCTGTGCCTCACCTCGCGAAAGTACTGCGCCTGCCAGGGATTTTTCCCGACCTTGCGAAAGTGTTGCGCTTGCCACGCAATTCAAGCCTGGCAAAGCCTTCCCGTTTCTGTGCCAATAGGCCGTGCGCCGCGCACTGAGCATCCCTACTATGGACTTTGACAAGTAGTTTTGAACCAGGTCTGGCTTGAGCAGCCTCGCAGTGGGCAGACCCGTGGGCTGTGCTGGGAGATTGGTACCTCCCTGGGACTGCGCATATGGATTGCCTTTTGGGCTGTCGTTGCGACCAAAAGGCTTTATTGCGTGGTAGGTACCGCGAGTGGTACTTAGGGCGTTCAGCTTGCGCCACAGCCCGCTCAATAGCTCCACCAGTGACAGAGCGTGTCGAAACGGAAAGAAGGATTTTTGCCCATGGCGCATTTTGCAAGGCGACGCCGAACACGCGCGCCAAGCATACCGCCCATGTCGAAAAGGCAGCTGGACAGCGTGAAGAAGTTGCTGGAGCTCGGCGCTGACATCAACAAGGCCTCCAAGACCGGCAGCTCCCCGCACGCATTTCGAATGTCCTGACACGACAGCAGTTGTGCAGCACCCAGCTTTGCACCCATTCTGATTTCGGGCAACATGGGCAACCGAGGAACACCTCTGATGTCTGCGGCAGGGAACGGCCTGGAGGCGGCTGCAAACCATGCCTGAAGGCATCTAAAGACATTCAGAGGCACTGGGCACTTCCACGCCTGTGGCGTCAGATGCCGTTGTATAATATATATTTATATGTTATACCTTGGCCAGGAGATGTGCGCGCTGCTGGTAGAGCAGGGAGATGCGGACATCATGGCCAGATCCTAATCTAAAGCCCGACTGGCGTGGCCCTTGGTACTCTCTGAGGCTATGGATGAGGGTGGCAAAACAGCTTATGATTTGGCTTCCGTCTCAGCGACCACTTGTATTCACAGCTTTGCACAGACAAACAATACCTCTAATGCATTGCCACAAGCTCAGAGTGCTGCTTGACACACTTGGCACCTGGCAGCCTGGCAGTGTTGCACTTTGCGTTTTCGATGCATTGTGGACATGATAAGCAGCGTCATGACGTTTTGCTGCCGCTGGAGATCCTTTGTACGTGTTGCACAGCTGCCTAGCAGTTTCTCAGAAGCGCACTGGCGATGTCGGAGGGCGTCGCTCGCATTCTGCCCCCGACGCGGTCCCAGTTTCTGGGACTGCTTTCTACCGTGGAAGATGTCAATCGCGTGGGAATGATGTCGGTGGTGTTTGTCAGAAAATGTGACTGATGTGAAAGAGATTAGTGATACAGCGGATGTGCACAACGTGCGTGATGGAGCTGGATTGTGTTATTGCTGGAGGATGTTGGCGATGCTAGCACTCATTGCCGTGCTCGCAATGTGTAAGTTCGAGACCGCTTTTTGCCATGCCAGCAATGCAATGTTGCTGATGTCAGCGTTGTTAATGTTGGCCACCCAGCTTGTCCCGTGTTGTCGCCAACGATTGTGATGTTCCGTATATTAGACATAGCCCTGCCGTAGGTCACATGTTGGTGCGAATGAGGGGTGGTAAATGTATCAGTTGCTTTCTGTCAATCATAGGCTCTCAGAAGTGGACCTTTTGGCAGCGACCGGATCCGGGAGCTTGTGGCAGGACATTTTGAGATGACTTGCCTTGGGCATTGAGACGGCAGCGAATTGGAATTTCAGGAGGTCAGACTCCCGGAGCTTCGGAGGAAGGGTGGCAGAGAAAATAGGCAAATGCCTTGACCCAAGGCACGTGATCATGGAATCATGTGATGTGCGATTTATTTGCTCCTCTGAGGTTCCTGAGCGAGGGCGCTGCACCTTCTTTTGATCGATGAAGACACGTCCCCTCAGCTCGCAATGATTCCTAGTACGCGTCTAGCGAATGCAAACATTTAAGTTTACCGTTCCCACTTGCCGCGAGTCTTGGTGTGGGTCTGGACTCTGTCCCACAGCCGGAAGAATGCGGCAAAAGGCATGCGCATAGCTTGAGATTGTGGTGGGCACGTGAGATCCTGTTGCGCTGCCAGAAATGAGGTGCTTACGTTCGGCTGGGAGACTTTGAAGCTGCCTTAAGCGCAGCTTCAGATGCCCAGGACACGGTAGAGTGCTCAGTTCGCAGGCAAATCTAGCCTCTGCCAGGAGCTTTTCCGCGAGGCCGATGATCCGCTGGCAGAGGCGCTTTTTCTCGAAATCTCGGGGTGAAGTGAAGATAGTGAAGATCTAGCGCCAGGCTGGAGCTGCTGGACTCGTGGCCCGGCTCCAACTGGAGCGCCAGGAGCGAGTGGGAGATGCGAGCGGAGCGAACGTGAGCGAAACGTGAGCGAACGTGAGTCGAACGGGACGTGACTTTCGGACTTTCGAGGACTTGTCAGCTGCGCTTCTGGCGGCAGATACGGCGGGGCCGGGAGCCGGAAGCAATTGGGAGCCTTCGACGCGCAGGCCAGAGCATTGCTGCGGCAGACTGGCGAGCTGGGCCGGGAGGCAAGCACATCTCGTGAGTCGAGTCCTATCCTCAGCTCCAGGTTGGGATGCTGATGCTGTCAGCGCAGGCAGGGACTGAGAGACGAAAGGAGTGAGAAAGGAGTGAGGGCCAGAAGTTTCTGATGGTTGGATAGGTGGGCAGCTTGGAGCTTGCTGCTGGCGCACAGCCTGGCGGGGGCAAGGCCAAGCGATGCGCTCGCAAAGGTCAGCTAGCATGCACTGGCCAGGCTGCGCGTGACTTTTATGAGGGCCGTGGCAGGGGCAAGGCCGGCTTGAGACCGTCATGTCACGTGCAGCACCATGCATCCCTTCTTCTGCATGTCACGTTCTTCAAAGCTGCACAGCGGCAAAGCGTGTTGCCACTCCCAGGAAAATGATTACTGGATTGTGTGGCATGCCTCATGGTCAAAACCTGGTCTCAGGCTAGAAGCATGGCCATCCATATTTCATATTATCCTCAAGCACAATGACACATATACTCTTCACAAGGCGGATGATTTGCATCAAACGCTCAACTACTTTCATAAGCAGTACACGGGGCGGCATAACACGGATAAAGCACAGATTTGTGAGACTGCTCTTGCTGACGTCATGCATGACTGTTCACAAAGGCGGTTTCAGGATGCCTGACAGAACCGGATGCAGACTGGCGAGCTGCTCACCTTGAGAGCTTGCAACTTTTGCAAGCCGTCTCCTCGTCTCCTTTACCTCAAGCCGTCTCCCGCCATGGCTTACCTGATTCGGGCTCGCATTTGCGAATGGGAGTACCATGCAGCGCTTCGGTAGAAACGCTCTAAATTTCACGGCCGGGAGGCAACATTTCTCCGTATCCGCCTTTGCCATGCCCAAAAGATTCTTCCATGCTCAATTGACTCAAGAGTTCAAGTCAACATGCATGCTTCACGGTCGCCTTCCAACCTTCAAGCTTTAAGATGCAATAAAGCAGTTGAAATGCCTACTCCCCAGCTGATGGCGTACTCCAAACGGGAAGGAAGCACTCATAAAGATAGACGAGGCTACTCGGCTACTTATCGAAGGATCTTTGCTGCTGTGTCTTGATTCAGCTCTGTGCCAGTGGATCCTAGCAATGTGACCTTCGTGCATTGACATTGGCGTGCGCAGCTTCGGACTGCTCTGAGTGCAGCTTAAAGGGGCACAGTCCAATGACTGCCAATGACCCAAATCGAGCAAGTCAGCGAGTCAAGCAAAGTCATGTCCAATGCCAAAAATGCTTTGGCACCGCAGGTCCTTGCCAAAGCCAAGGAGGCGGTCAGCTTGTCCAAGAGGCCAGGTGTACATCGCTCGCATGTTTTGCTTTCACTTGCGGCGAGAGGCTCAATAGCAACCATTTCGTGGCGATTTCGTCTGGTCCTTGAGAACACAATGGTGCTGAGCAGTGCGCAAGCGGCGCTCGCTAAGGCGAGTTGCGCAATCGCGAGCTAAAGTCTCAAACGGCTTGCTGGAGGACGCCATGACAGAGATCAAAGAGGCACGGTTGGGACCAGCAAGCGGCGCAAGCGGCGGAAACGGTTTGATTTTTTGAATTGATTGAAGCACTTGAGGTTCTGCCGATTCTGGCAGGGTGCGGTGACAGCCGTGCAGAAGGGTCAGCCAAGCTGCTGTGTCAGACTCAGGGCACATTTGAAGTGTTCACGCATACTGGGTATGTTGCTATGATCAAGTGCAGATTCTCAAGGCAAGCAAATATCTCAGTCTTGCTGGGAGTGCCGGATATGAATTCGGCGAAGGAGGCAAGAGAGACTGACAGTTGTAGTTTCTTGGAATAGGCGAAGTTGCCGTTGCCAGGCGCTGGAGTGCTTCCAGGCAGCAGGGCGGCCCCATGAGGTTGCGCAAGTGCAGGCCGGCAAGCACCGAAACACGAAGCGTGCAGTCACATCAAAGACCTCTCTGGACCTTTGATTGGGCTGAAAGAGATCTCAGGCCGTGATGTCCCGGCTGCGGGCGCCGGGCTTGGCCTTGCGGTGCAGAGCGACAAGCAGTATGGTTTCTCTCTTTCTCTTCTCTTTTTCCATTTTTTCCCTAGATAGCTTTCGCTATAGGGTTCTTGCTGGGGTTGCGGGTGCTGGACTGGCGCTGCAGTCGAGGTGCTGGACAGGGTACTGCGTGCGGATTCTCTTGCGCGCATCCTGCACAGACTCCCGCACTTGCCGACCGCACGGGTTTCCGTGCGTACTTCCCATGCATGTCTCTACGCACACCTCCCTCACTTAATCTTATCATACTTTTCATGTGTTTCCGCACACTTCGTCTTATGCGGACTGCCGCGCACACGCCTTTCGCACGGATGCCCGCGCGTGGCGCCCGCACAGAAATCCGTGCATGCCTCGGATTACTACCTTGGGCAGGGGCTCTCACACCTGCCTATAAGAGCCCTTTCAGATTTGTCACGTCAGGGGCCGTTCTCAGTTTTACCCCACATAGCTTCTGAAGAGATGGAGTTGTTCCCCAGATAGCAGAAAGCTATAAGGAAAAGAGGGCAGGCTGTTCTGCGAGTTCGGACCAGGTTGGTTCTGGAGGTGCTGGTCAGGCTATTTTGCGATGCAGTTAGGGTGCTGTTGCGGGTGTTGGGCAGGGTGTTGTTTTGGGTTATATAGAAGCCAAAAAGCCTGGGGTGTTACTGGTGATGCTGAGGATGCGGAAAGCCGAAGCCACAAAGCCACAAACGTCACGAAAACTCGCCAAAAGCCACAAAGGCCAACATGGATACAAACAAAAAGACAAAAGACTCCAAAAGCCAAGAAGGCAAAGGCCGAAAAGCAAAAAGCCAAAAAGCCAAAAGCCAAGAAACCAAAAAGTCAAGAAGACTGGAAGCCCAAAAGCCCACACTCCAAAAAGCCAAAGGCCAAAAAGCCAAGAAGTGAAGAAGCCAGATAAGGTACAATCCAGGAAAATTGCCTAACGAAAAGCAGGATAGGGCCAAAATAGCATGGGAAGCTAGAACAGCACTCTGGCCACCACCCTGACTGTGTCGCCAATCAAGCACTGCCAGCAACTTGAGCACACACCTTAACAGCACCTTGACCAGCGCAACAAGCATCACCACTAACCACACCATGACCAGCAGCTTCTTGCACCTTGTTTGTAGTCGCGTACTTTCTTTATTAGCGTCCTTATGTGTTTTCTATGGAGGCCCCCTCCACCCGCTTCTTTATAGGGCCGTTGTTCGGCTTTGCGATTAGCTCAAAAGGCAAACCAAACTCCTGAACGAACCCTAATTTAATCTCCAGACCCCCCAAACCCACGTTTTGGTCCAACAACGCCACTAAACCCTAAACCACCACCCAGAGCCAACCTTAAGACAGAAATCCTAAAGAAACCTTAAACCCGCAAGATTCCCTAAAGGAATCCCTATGCAAACCTCTAAACCAACAATAGTCTATCCCTAAACCAACTCTACACCCCCAAACCAACCCTAACCTCCAACCACCCTCACCTTAACCCCGCCCCCTGAGCAAACCCTGTACCAACCCTAACCCCTCAATCAATCCCTAACACCCCCCCCAAACCAGCGCTAAACCCAAACTAAACCCACCCTAAACCCGCTCTACACCCACAAACAACCATCCCACCCCCAAACTTGCACCCTGAACCAACCCTAGGCGGCCAACCTTGAACCCAGCCTAAACCGAAGCTAACTCGTAATGCTGAGGATGTTGAAAAGGATGTTGGGGATGTTAACACGATGCTGGGGATGCTGCCAGTTCCAAGACAGAAGCTGGAAAAAAGCAAAAAAGCAAAAAAGCAAAAGCAAACAAATCGAGAAGTACAAAAAATCAAGCGGAAAGGCCCATTTTCTTCGTCTCTTCGAGGCGAAGCCGGCGCAGGCCCCGGCCCAGGCCCAGGCCCAGGCGCAGGCGCAGGCCGCCCAGGCCCAGGCCCAGCCGGCGCTGGCAACGCAGGCAGGGAAAAGGGAAGGGGAAAAAAGGAGAAAAAGGAGAAAAAGGACAAAAAGGACAAAAAGGACAAAAAGGGAGAATCGGAAGGGAATGAGGGAATGAGGGAATGAGGGGAAAGGAGAAGGAATGGAGTCGAAAGCAAGAGGTGCAGAGGTGGTCTGAGGTCCTTTGGAAAACTTGGGAGCCACTCTGAGTCGCCAGTCGCTTGGCAGGCCAAGCCTGCCACTATCGATAAGATGGCTTTGCCTGCAACCCAACAGAACATGACTTTGCTTGGTTCGTTGAATCGGACACGTTTTGAGGTGCCCCTTTGCATAAGGCCACTGCCGGAGCGTGTGAAGTACACCTTGACCGAGCTCGTGGCAGAGGCTATCGGCCACAGCCTCAAGTCCTTTGTGCGGGTTTTGGGTGCTGTGTATGCACTAATTATTCATGATTATGCATTAAGGTCAGGAGCACATGGAGGAGGCACCCCTTGGCGCAAGCTGGCTATGTGCGTTACGTTTTTGTTGCTCGCCCGGAACCAGGACCGCGCGCTTATGGAAACGGGCATGACCAGCACCGGGACAGCAGTTTACACGTGAAGTGGCAGTGTGATGTGATGCAAAGGCTTTCGCAGCCAAGGCATTGCCAGCATCATGCTGCGAGACAGAATCCAGGCAGAGAAAAACAGCCGACAGGTCAGGGCGAGCTGGGCAGTTCATGCCATGCGAGGCCGAATTCCCGGAAATTCCCGAGATGGCTGGCCGCTTAGGTTGAGCCCGATTCTTCTCATTGCAATTGCGACGAGGACCTCACCTTCGTTTTCGATTATCCAACTATTCGCTTGAGCCTTGGGACTGGCAGAAGCCACTGTCTGGCAGTCTGGCAGACACTGAGGCGAAATGACTGGCTTTGTGCTCGAGCAGCTGCCAGATGCGTGAGGCGAAAAGTTCAGTGCCAGCTTTGGCCTCTCCGAGCTTTGTAAGGCTTTGCCCTGTCTTCCTTGCCTTTCTGACTCGCCACCAAGCTCGCCCAAGGCTGTGAATACACTACAGTTCAAATATAATTGTACAATCTGTTGTAACAATGTAGCTGCGGCAAGATCAAATTTACAGTCCATTCGTGCACCACATAGCAAATCCACCAGGCTAAACATGCTAGATGCTGATTGGCTGGGTCAATTCAATCTAGCTGCAGTAGACTACCGGTAGAGCACAGCTTCGACACCGCAGCCAGTGGCTGCGCAAGCCATGGATCCAGCACAGGTGGGTTTCCTGTTGCTTGGCCTCCAAGTAGCACAATCGGGCATGTCTGAGAAGCGATTTCAATCTGAGGATATGCTTCTTGGTAAATTTGGCGGCTTGACACGCATCAAATCAGAGCAGAGCATTGCCAGTCAAGGGATACGCGTTCCTGACGCGATGTGGCAACATGATGCCCTCAAAGGCCATGAGTAGCGTGCTGAATAGCAGGAGGTGTTAATCAGCGCAAGAAAGGAGAGACGGGTTCAGCGCGGCTGTAATTAGATGGCCCAATTGGCCCAAACATAGTTTCCATTTGTAAAGCGCACAGCAACTCAGGTAGATACCATGGGGTTCAGCTTTACGGGCCCCGTGCTGGTGCCCTACGGCCGGGAGATAGGTCGGGGCTGGAAAATTCCCAAATTGAGCTGACGCGCAGAAATCACCAGGTGCTAGCGTAGCCATCATAGCGTTCTTCAACACCGTGCCAGCCTTTGTGAGATAATGCTTTGAATGCTTTGAATGCTTTGAATGCTTTGAATGCTTTGAATGCTTTGGATGCTTTGAATGCTTTGAATGCTTTGAATGCTTTGGATGCTTTGGATGCTTTGGATGCTTTGGATGCTTTGAATGCTTTGAATGCTTCGGATGCTTCGGATGCTTTGGATGCTTTGGATGCTTTGGATGCTTTGGATGCTTTGGATGCTTTGGATGCTTTGGATGCTTTGGATGCTTTGGATGCTTTGGATGCTTTGGATGCTTTGGATGCTTTGGATGCTTGGATGCTTTGGATGCTTTGGATGCTTTGATGCTTTGGATGCTTTGGATGCTTTGGATGCTTTGGATGCTTTGGATGCTTTGGATGCTTTGGATGCTTTGGATGCTTTGGATGCTTTGGATGCTTTGGATGCTTTGGATGCTTTGGATGCTTTGGATGCTTTGGATGCTTCGGATGCTTTGGATGCTTTGGATGCTTTGGATGCTTTGGATGCTTTGGATGCTTTGGATGCTTTGGATGCTATGGATGCTTTGGATGCTTTGGATGCTTCGGATGCTTCGGATGCTTCGGATGCTTCGGATGCTTCGGATGCTTCGGATGCTTCGGATGCTTCGGATGCTTCGGATGCTTCGGATGCTTCGGATGCTTCGGATGCTTCGAATGCTTCGAATGCTTCGAATGCTTCGAATGCTTCGAATGCTTCGATTGCTTCGAATGCTTCGAATGCTTCGAATGCTTCGAATGGTTCGAATGAATCGAATGCTTTGAATGCTTTGGATGCTTTGACTGCTTTGACTGCTTTTACTGCTTTGACTGTTTTGAATGCTTTGAATGAATGAATGCTTTGAATGCTTTGAATGCTTTGACTGCTTGATGTGTGCATGCCATTTTAACTGAGGTCCGCTTTCTGTTTGGTATGGTGGCGCTGATTTGGATGCCTATCTATGCAGACCGTCGCGGGGTGAGTCTTGGCTGTTCATCGAGGAGCATCAAAATGGTTTTTGTTGAGTTGTTCATTATTCGCTCTTTACTTTGAGGGCGCGCCAATTGCATTCACCCCGCAGATGTGGAGCGCGTACGCCAACTGCGTTTGCCCTGCAAATGTTTGCTCGCCAACTGCGTTCGCCCCGCAGATCACGCCGGCAGCGTTTGCCCTGCAGATGTTGAGCGCGCGCGCTGCCAACTGTGCTTGCGCTGCAGATAGCAAGCCAGCAGCGTTCGCCCTGACTATATTGAGCGCGCACGCCAACTGTGTTCGCCCTGCAGATGTTGAGCATACGCAGTTTGCTGTGTTTACTGACAGCAACGGCAGCTGGGTGTCGATCGCGCAGAAGACGAGCAAGCGACGCACCCAGCAGTTCGTGCAAGCTGCACCAGGTAGAAAGCGCGTTGGAATGTCGTAGGTGCGTGGCGTGCAAGTTGCAGACAGATGCTGGCAAGATCTCAAACACTGGCCAGGTTCGGCCGGAGAAATGGTTGTCAAGGTTCAGGGTCACACACAGCTGAACCCGACTCTTCCAGAGAAGCTGTGTCAGCGGGCGCTGGAATTCTTGCTCTGACTTACAGGTGTGGGAGAAGACAGACGTCACGGTGGAGATACTCCATAAACATTTGAGCAAAAGGCTAAACTCTCTCGTCATAAAATATGTCTTCGGCGATTTCGCGTTGCTTGTTTTGTATTTTTTCCTCAGGAACGATATAGCGAAGCCCCAAAAACGATAACGTCGCATGACGTGCAACTGGCGCTTCGCGCTTCTATTTTGCACTGTGTGAGCCTTTTTTTGCCCCAAGCTGCAAGTTGCCATGACAGCTCCTGTCAATGCTCCTCGGCAATGCATGGTGGGCACATTGTTGCACTGTGTGAGCCTTTTTTTGCCCCAAGCTGCAAGTTGCCATGACAGCTCCTGTCAATGCTCCTCGGCAATGCATGGTGGGCACATGTGTGCACGAGATGGGCCCACCCAGATAAATCGGCGCACACGCACACGCACAGGCGCCCGCAGGCACCGGAGCACGCTGCGACCTTCGAGCTGGAGCTGCCAAAGTGTAACTTGCGTACTGCGCTGGTACTGAAAGTTGCGACTTGCGACCTGGAAGTTGCAGCCAGCAAGCAAAGCCGCCAATGCTTGGGAGCCAGAGAAGCATAGTTTAGTCCGCTGATCACATGACTACTGCAAGGTAGAGAAGGCTCTTGTGCGCTTGCTTGGCTCTAGCTTATAGCAAGTTTGCTTTTTTCGTGACACTACACGCGCCCAGAACGATACCCAAAACGACACCCTATCGATACTCCGAGATCGTCCCGGAGCAGCCAATGTGAGGCCTACCTATAGTGCGTTTGCTTTTTCAACCACACGCGCAGCTCCTTCAGCGCACATCCTTCCGCGCACACAAAGGGCCCGCAACGGGCCAGGCCGCGGACGCCTTGGCGGGCTTGCGCTTGCTCCTCAAAGATCTGCTGCTGCAGGAGGATGGGAAGGCCTCACTTGCCCGAGCAGATCTGTGATCCGGAAGGCTTTGGAGAAGAGCCCGAGCTCCAAGAGCTGCAGTTCACACTCTCCGAGTGATCCGAAAAGGTGTTTTCGACGCTCCGAAATTACTTTTGGGTATGGTTTGGCATGCCGACTGTGGCGCCTGCGGGTGCAAGCAAGAAGCATGAGCAGTAGGAAGGAGAGCAATCGGTGGCCCAGAATGCAGTTCACACTCCCCGAGTGATCCGAAAAGGTGTTTTCGACGCTCCGAAATTACTTTTGGGTATGGTTTGGCATGCCGACTGTGGCGCCTGCGGGTGCAAGCAAGAAGCATGAGCAGTAGGAAGGAGAGCAATCGGTGGCCCAGAATGCAGTTCACACTCTCCGAGTGATCCGCAAATGTGTTTTCGACGCTCCAAAATTACTTTTGGGTATGGTTTGGCATGCCGACTGTGCGCCTGCGGGTGCAAGCAAGAAGCATGAGCAGTAGGAAGGAGAGCAATCGGTGGCCCAGAATGCAGTTCACACTCCCCGAGTGATCCGAAAAGGTGTTTTTGACGCTCCAAAATTACTTTTGGGTATGGTTTGGCATGCCGACTGTGGCGCCTGCGAGTGCAAGCAAGAAGCATGAGCAGTAGGAAGGAGAGCAATCGGTGGCCCAGAATGCAGTTCACACTCCCCGAGTGATCCGCAAATGTGTTTTCGACGCTCCGAAATTACTTTTGGGTATGGTTTGGCATGCCGACTGTGGCGCCTGCGGGTGCAAGCAAGAAGCATGAGCAGTAGGAAGGAGAGCAATCGGTGGCCCAGAATGCAGTTCACACTCTCCGAGTGATCCGAAAAGGTGTTTTCGACGCTCCGAAATTACTTTTGGGTATGGTTTGGCCCTTCCAGCAACCTCCAAATAGCAAGCTGGGGAACGCAGTTTTGAGCAACAAGCCGGGGAGTGTAGCTTTGGTCAAAAGCACCCAATAGGCGCCACAGTCGGCATGCCAAACCATACCCAAAAGTAATTTAGAGCGTCGAAAACACCTTTTCGGATCACTCGGAGAGTGTGAACTGCATTCTTTGCCACCGATTGCTCTCCTTCCTACTGCTCATGCCGTCGCCACAGTCGGCATGCCAAACCATACCCAAAAGTAATTTCGGAGCGTCGAAAACACCTTTTCGGATCACTCGGGGAGTGTGAACTGCATTCTTTGCCACCGATTGCTCTCCTTCCTACTGCTCATGCTTCTTGCTTGCACCCGCAGGCGCCACAGTCGGCATGCCAAACCATACCCAAAAGTAATTTTGGAGCGTCGAAAACACCTTTTCGGATTCGGGGGAGTGTGAACTGCATTCTGGGCCACCGATTGCTCTCCTTCCTACTGCTCATGCTTCTTGCTTGCACCCGCAGGCGCCACAGTCGGCATGCCAAACCATACCCAAAAGCAATTTTGGAGCGTCACACCTTTTCGGATCACTCCTGCATTCTCGGATCATTGCTCGGAGGGTGTGAACTGCATTCTGGGCCACCGATTGCTCTCCTTCCTTACTGCTCACTGCTCATGCTTCTTGCTTGCACCGCAGGCGCCACAGTCAGCATGCCAAACCATACCCAAAAGTAATTTTGGAGCGTCGAAAACACATTTTCGGATCACTCGGAAAGTGTGAACTGCATTCTTGGGCCACCGATTGCTCTCCTTCCTACTGCTCATGCTTCTTGCTTGCACCCGCAGGCGCCACAGTCG